GCTTTTAAGCCGGCTCCCTGTGAGCACTGGCTCCTGCAGAGCTGCTTCCTGGCCTTACATGTAACCATGAAGGTTAACTGATGAGCCCAAGATATTGCTTTCAGTAACACCACAGATTACAAAGAGTACAGTGCTCACTTTATATTTTTGATTAGATACTTGCATTGTAAAAAAACCAGAAATATTGTTTTTGTTTCACCTGATACGAGTACAGGGTTGAACCTCTCTAGTCCAGCATACTCGGTGCTGTTCTTGAGCTCTGATTTACCCTAAATGTCTTCTAAGAGCCCAGTAAGCAGTGGTAATTAGTAATGCTGCTAGACAATATTGACCTTCTATAATCCAGCAAATTCTCTGGTTCAATACCAGTCGGGTCCCAGTAGTGCCAGACTAGAGCGGTTTAAACAGTACTGCAGTTCAGTCTCTTTATTGTGAAAGTGTAATTTACAAATTTAGATTTTTTGTGTTACATAACTGCATTCAGAACTAAAACTGAATAAAACTTTAGTGCCTACAGATCCACTCAGTCCTATTTCTTGTTCAGCTAGTTACTTGGGCAATTTGCAGGAGATAAGTATGATGAGTATTTTATTCCTTAATCCAGTTTGTGATCAATTTTGAGGATAAATAGAAGTTTAATCTAGGGCTATCAAGCAATTAATCACGTGTACCTCCCACTGGAACCCGGGATCAGCTGGAGTCCCCAGCTGACCCTGGGCTCCATGCAGTGCTGCTCCTTGGAAGCACTGTGGAGGTGTTTCCAAGGGGCAGCGCATTAGGAGCACAGGATCAGCTGGGGACTCCAGCTGAACCCCGGGCTCTGCTGTTACAAAGCCCCTTTGAAGTGCTGGAGCAGCACTTCAAAGGGACACCAAGGCATTAACACACCTGTGATTAAAGCATTAAAAAAGTTAATCCTATCCTGCATTAATCGCAGGCGTTAACACAGGTCAGCTGACAGCTCTAGTTTAACCTTCTTGACATTTTCCTACTCTTTTCAGTAGTATTTTGTGATAGGTTCATTGGATGCCGCATAAAGATGTAATTCCTTCATTCAGCTGGCCAAAACCATAGTTAGTTTGATTAGTCTTTTGCCCTGTCTGGTAGCTGTTTCCTTCATCTGATGTGCAGAGGAAAGTAAATGACTGAGTCTCCTAGTTTGGGCCTCCCAGACAGTGTTTTTTCTTTAAAATAGATTATCCCCAATGTTGGGGATTCATCCCATCAATTTACTGATATGACTGCTGGGTAAAACCAAGAGAATGATATGGTAAAAGGCATAGAGGACGGAAAGATGCTGCTTAATATTTACTTTTCTCCCATGGAGGCTGTGCAAATTAGTTAATATGTATGTGGCATTTTGGAGGAGTGAAGTACTATATAAATGCTGTTGTCTGTTCAAACTGATGCAGCATCTTATGAAGAGTTCTTTTTTCCCCCCTACCGCCATCCCTCACCACCAAAGCAGTCCTGTGGACACATTGCTCTCTGCATGATAAAATGGATGGACCTGGGTGTTGGATCATTTTAATGAACAGTGATTTTTAATTATTTGTTTTTGTTTTCATTACCAGTGGATCAATGCTTGCCTTAAAATAATGGTTACTGTAGAATTCTTGCCTATTAGGAGCATGTAGTGCAAGATATCATAAGGCGTGTTTATTTTGTAACTAAAGGTCTCTTTAAAAAAATTCAAGCTAAGAACTAAATGTGGCCACTACTTCCTCTAACTAAAGCTCTGTAGGATCCACTAGGTTTTTGTCTTTCCCCTTAGGTTTAAACTTAAGCTGAATTTTTGTCCAAATCTGTCCACTTCTGAATTGCATCATGAGATAACTGACTACCATTAGTTCTCTTATGGCTCCCTAAAAGCTTGGTGGGGGTGGCACTCTGCAAATGTTTTGTTCCTATATGATATCTGATTGCCCTAGGAGGCATCTGGGTTAAAAAATTTTTTTTTAATGTTTGTGCTCTTTTTGGAGATACCTTTATTAATTCTTGTTTGTGTGGGAGTCACAGAACAGTTGGATTCAAAATCAGCATGGGTAGGTGCTATTGCAGATGCTTCTTACATTGCTCTTCTGCATGTCACTCCTGACTGTAGCAACCTCCTCCCTACCACTGTTCCAGATAGAACCCTTTACTTTCTGCAAATACCGCTGAGGGTACATCTAGAGGTATCCTGGAAAAACTCCGCCGCATCCAGGGAACGCATTTCCTCTTCCGCTTTTTTTTTTGTAGAAGAGCAAACATGCTCTTTTGGGGAGGCCTGTATACCTTATTCTATGAGGAATAAGAGCTTCGCCAAAAGAGGAGGCTTTTCTGCCATTTGGCACCATCTAGATGGGGCCAAATGGTGGAAAATTCTCTTTGGGAAAAGCAATCGTAAAAGTTACACAAATTATGGAGCGCAATTTGCATAGTTTTTTTTCCAATAAAAGAGTGTAGTTTAGACCTGGCCTGAGTGTCATGTAGCCACCACTCCTATTCTGGTCCTGGATCATCCTGAACCTCTGCCCCCGTCCTCCTAACACTCACATAAGTTTCTGAATCCTGACCTAATGGAGGAGAGGAAACATTACTAAAAATGTTTTCTTATTCTTTTCAGAGATGCTGCAGTTCGTTAGCAACCAGGTTGGAGAGTTTCCAGATTTGTTCTCAGAGCAGTTATGTGGCACGTTCCAGAGCAGTGGTGGAGGTAACAGTGGTGGGACCTTGGACCATCCACTGCAGAACTCATACAACCAGGCACAGCTGCAGTCTTTCCCATCTACCACTGCCTCTCCCCAGCTACAAGCCGTGCAAGTCAAAGTGCCTCCAGCAACAGCACCTGCCCCTCAGCGATCTGCACCGCTCCTTCAGCCTCGCCCCCAGCTTCAGCCCCAGCTCCAACAGCAAACTGTGATGATTACACCAACTTTCAGCTCTGCTCCCCAGACCAGGATCATTCAGCAACCTCTAATATACCAGAATGCAGCCACAAGTTTTCAAGGTTGTGCTTGGGGGGAGGGTCAGAACTCTGTATTTTGTATTGTAGATGTGAAAGGCTATTTTTCAAAGAAAACTTAGGCATGATGGTTCTGGAGGCTGCTGTATACCCAGTAATTCTAATTGATGACCTGATCTGTGAAAAATCACTTGTATTGCATGGCGAGTTTCAGTCTAAATTAAGTGTATTTTCACTCAGATTCAATGGTCAAGGAAGACTCTAGCATATAAGTTCCTAACTCTCCTGATATGTTCTACTTGTAACTGTTCTCCACTTACTCACCTCAAATGTGGCCCTACAAACCTTTGTACTGGATTCTTGTGGAGGCTGGTAGATGATGATTTAGAAATTGTCATGGTTTACTTTTGTAATTCTCCCTACTGTGGGAGCAAAGGATGAACCCAAAACCTGAAATCTCATTTCCTCTCACATGTAGTATGCTTTGCCACTAGATGGTTGAGCTGTCTTTCTGCTGACTATGCATCCAGGGCAATAAAATTAGAGATGGTGTGTGGTATGAGAGTTCAGGTACTCAGTGTAATGCTTTTGGTGAGTCAAGACACTTCCCAGAAAGCTTAATTGGAAAGCATCATACTTTAGTGCCTAGGAGTCCTAGTCATGGTCCAGGACACCGCTGACCCACGTGCTGTTCAAACACAGAACAAAAAATCCCTGCCTCAAGGGGTTAAAATACTGAGCTCTCATTAAGGTCAGTTGTCACAATTCTCCATTGCATTCTGTTCTCATTTCAGAATGCTAAGGGCCCTTTGCAAGGGATAAATCACAGGGAGTACTAATGGCAGTGTAACATGGAAACCCTGGCCAGGAACTTGGGTATAACTGAAGCATTCAGCAGACAAAAGGATGCTCAACCTCTTCCTCCCATGACCTTGCCATTCACTGCCATACACTTGTCCTCAGTGCATCCCAGAATCTTTGTGCTAGATCCTGAGCCATCAAGGGAATGGTCTGATAACACACAGAGTAATGGCAATGCCTGTATGAATGCTGACCATGAGTTACCTAAACTGCAATTTACAATTTTCTCCTTTTCAGTTCTTCAGCCTCAAGTTCAGAGCCTGGTGACGTCCTCCCAAGTTCAGCCTGTTACCATTCAGCAGCAGGTGCAGACTGTGCAGGCTCAGAGGGTGTTCACACAGGCTGCCAATGGCACCATCCAAACGCTAACCCCTGCCACTGTCCAGACAGTAGCTGCTCCTCAGGTCCAGCAAGTTCCAGTAAGTATAAATATAGACACACTCAGCATATACACAGTGGGGGACACAATTAGCAGAACTTGGGGATCCCCCCAGGATCCATCGGGGTGGATGTTCAGGAGCAGGCTTCCTTGCTTGGCTGATCTAAGGACAGGTTGTGGCATGTAATTAAGGAATATGTGGAGCTGGCTGAGGTTTTAGTTGCTTGAGTGGCACAGGGCTTACTTTGGGATCCTGGGATGTTAGGCGTGGAAAGTGATTCTAACCAAGCTTTCTACCGTACAAAGACATCTTGCTTTATTTCCCCCAGGCAAAAGCGTTGCTTGTTGTGAACATACCAGTTGGTGTGTCTTTCACATCACATAGCATGATTTGATGTAGCACTGGGCAAACGTCACAAGGTTCTGTTTGACTAAGCACCTAAAAGCCTGCCTATGTAGTTACATGATATCTAAGTAGCCAAGCTGTGAGAAATCTCATGCTAGTGGTCTCTTATGGTCAGGGCTTGCCGAACCGCAGCGAGCCCTGCTTGCCAGCTGCGCTGTCCGGCGATCTGCGCATGTGCAGATCGTTCTGTGCATGCGCAGATCGCCCGAACCCAGCTCTTCTGGGTTGCAATCTACTCAGGAGCAAATAGATTGTATTATTTGTTGAGCCCTGCTTATGGTAGATTTCTAATTATTTCTACTTTTGGTTAGTTTGCCAATAATCTATATGCTTCTGCTATTCCTGTTAACATTTGCACTGGTGAAATTCTACAGAATTTTCCGCTGTGAACTTCTGCTATATGGAACATTTTACTGTATTTCTGTGCTGCTTCAACTCCTATCAAATCTCTTTTTTAAAATATACACATAAGACTAAAGGGATTTGTTTTCTTCCTTTACTATTATCAGAAGTGCTTAGGGGTAGAGGATACACACTGAATGAAATTACTGAGGTTAATTTACATTGTATCATGCCATTTCTCCTCCCAGCCAGAATCAGGAATGGTTGAAGTAGTTGCTAAACTGGAGAAGTAATAAGGAATAAGCAATAAGGGTCAAGGGTAACCAACCTTTACTGTTGGCTTCAATTTGAGTGAAGTTTCTGTTAACTGATTATCTAGTTTGGCTGAAATAGTTTCTTTATTCTCAGCCCATAGGTGAAAATCATGAAATCCTAGAAATGCAGATCAGAAAGGGGCTTTGAGAAGTCATTGAGTCCAGCACCCTACAGGACCAAGTACACCTAGACCATCCCTGACTGGAGTTTGTTCATCCTGTTCTTGAACATCCCAGTGGTAGGGATTTCACTTTCTCCTTTGGAAGCCTATTGCAGAGCTTAACAACTCTTATAGTTAGACAGTTTTTCCAAGTATCTAACAAATCTCCCTTGTTTCAGAAGAGCTCATTACTTACCTGTCCTACCTTCCGAGAACATGAAAACAGTTGGTGGTCATCCTCTTTACCCTTAACATCTTTGAAGACTATTATTAGGGTCCCCTCAGTTGCCTTTTCTCCAGACTAAAAGTGCCTAGTTTCAGAACCTTTCCTCATAAGTCAGGTTTTCTAAACTATTTTTGTTGCTCTCCTCTGGACTATCTTCAGCTTCTTTACATCTTTCCTAAAGTGTGACACACACAGCTGTATACTACTCCAGCTGAGGCCTCACAACTGCCGAAAAGAGCAGAACAATACAGAATGCCATTCATTTTTCACAGCAGCATCACATTGACTCATATTCCACTTGTGATCCACTGTACTGTCTGAATCCTTATCAGAAGTACTACCCACCCAGCTAGTTGTTCCCTATTTGTAGTTGTGCGTTTGATTTTTTTTTTCTTCTACAGTGTAGTATTTTTCGCTTGTCTTTTATTGCATTTCATCTTGTTGATTTCAGAACAGTTCTCTAATTTGTTGAGGTTGTGTTTAATTCCCTAGGGTACAAACATAAAATTGTATGAAATTTGCCTCCTCCCTCAACATGGAAGAAGGTATGCACAACATCACCTACCACCAATAAGAAACTACATAAACCAAGTAATTTTTTATTAACTATAAAAAGACATATTTTAAATGGATCAAGAGTGGCAAACATATTGCATACTTTGTATTATTTTCTTAGTAATCTATGATCTAAGCTAAATTCACTAAAGAAACTGGTTACAAATAATTTTTTCACCCTATGTATTATGTCAGGTAGAGTCCTTCACTCAAGTGTGGTTTTTTTCCCCTAGTCTGGGTCTAGTATCTACCTTTCTCCCCTTTTCATTTAGGGTGCATCTACACACTCTAAATTGCATAACTTATTTCAAGATAGTCTATTTCGAAATTTGGCGCTGTCTACACAGTGCCAAATTTTGAAATAGCCCGCTATTCCCAAATGTCCTTTACTCCTCGTGGAATGAGGTTTACAGGGATGTTGGAATAGTGAGGCCGTTATATTTTGAAATAACAGGTTTGCTGTGAAGACACAGGATAGCTCTTTTGGGGTGCTCTGGTATCCCAAAATAACGTTGCAGTGTAGCTGTAGCCTTACAGTCCTCTTGTTTCCAGGTGTTTTCAAGTATCTCTTTGGGATGGGGAGGCAGAGGGCAAGCAAAATTAAAAACAATCATGCAGGTTAGTATCAGGTGACCAGATCACCTGACTGTGTTGTCCATGAGTCAGTAGCATTATAGCATATCCACAGGAAGACCAAACATTTCCCAATCCATTGTCCTTGCTCGTGGGCCATTGGATCTCTTTGGCTTTTCCATTGTAGTCCCTGAAGTGTCAGCAGTGGGAGTGACCCAAAACTTGCAAATATGAAATGCAGATTCACAAACAGCTAACTTCAAATACAAAAATGATAGCTGCATGTGAATGAGAGAATCCTATTTAGTCCAATGATAACTTATATGGATTATCTTGCATAAAACACATCTCAGACATATTCCTAGTATAAGCTTATTTCTTAAAGAATATGGAATGCCACATCAGTCATCACTTACCTCCCCATACCTGCTAAGAAGACCTATATATTCCTTTATCTTTTGCTCCTACTGTGTTTGAAGAATTTCTTCTTAATGTCTTACCTTCCTTGCTAGTGTAATTCATTCTGTGCCTTGCCCTTCTCTGATTTTTTTTCTTCCTGTCTGTGCTTTCTTTGTACTCCTCATTACCCATTGTCCATATTTCCACAATTTTTAGGATTCCTTTTTGACTTTTCATTTCTTTGAAGAGCTCCTAGTGGAGCCATGTTGGCCACTTACTATTCTTCCTATCTTTCCTTTTGCATTGGGATAGCTTGCAGTTCTTTAGTATTGTCTCCTTGAGAAACTGCCAGCTGTCTTGAACTTCTTTATCCCTTAGATGGCCTTCCCATGGGCCAGCTCTGAGTTTTCAGAGAAGCAGATTTTTAAAGTCGGTTGTCCTTGTTCTGTTGTGCTCATTCCTTAAAAATCATGAAGTCTTTTATTTCAGGATCACTTCTCACCCAAAATTGTCTTCTACCTTAGATTCACAATCAAACCCTCCCTATTGATCAGAATCAAATCTAAAATGATTTCCACCTATTATGTCATTCAATTTTTGAAATAAAAAGCTTGTCTCCAGTATGTTTCAGGAAATTTACTGATGATACTGTGTGTTGCTGTATTTGTTTTTCCAATAGGTGTCTAGATAGCTAAAGATCTTTAGTACTACCAAGGCTTGTATTCAAACCAGGTGGCTGCCAGAGGCTGTCTAGCCCTGTTAGCTACTGAGTGCTCACCCACTAAAATAAGTCATGTTCTCAGGGGAGCCAGCTATAGGTGCAACCACTGTAGAAGGGAGACTTATTCCCATCCATTTATTTTTGCATGTTAATTTCCCCATAGAAATTGACATGACTTGAAAAACCACTAGCTATCTTGGTCCTTCCTTTCCTGTCTTCGAGCTTTACATACATGTTGTCTCATTGTGGAGTTTGCATTGACTTTCAACACATTTGGAGAAAGTCCTGTTTGAGGCAAATAGGGCTTACAAATCCTGGACTTTTGCCACCTACTAAGTCTTCATGCAGTCACATGGATATAAGTCTGGTATAAGTGTGTAGTTATTGTAGATGAGCTGTATTTCCTGTTGTTCACCCACTGTGTGTATCACCATTTTGTAACCCCCTAGGTTCTGGTCCAGCCTCAGATCATAAAGACAGATTCTCTTGTCTTGACAACTTTGAAAGCAGATGGTAATCCAGTTATGGCTGCAGTTCATAACCCTGCCCTCACTGCATTGACCACTCCTATTCAGACAACAGCACTGCAGGTACTGGTCTGAACCTTTCCTCTACGTTTTTGCCTCTCTTTTGTTAAGTCTTAGAGGGATAACCGTTTTAGTCTGTAACGTGAAAACCAACAAATTGTCCCGTGGCACCTTAGAAACTAACAAATAAATGTATATAGTATCATGAACTTTCATGGGCAAACCCACTTTTTTAGATGAGATGAGCTTGAGTGTTTGTTAATGTTCTGTGAGAGTTAAAATGGGAGGGAGTTGGAGTGCTGCCCTGGGTATGCCCGAGAAGAATAGCCTCTCTCTTCAACCAAGGCTACACATGCGTTTTGTGCATTTTTGACTGTCTCTGCTGACCAGAGAGCAAAGACCAAGGGTTGGCTTCTGTTTACCTTGTTGCTGCTTTAGCAGAGAGGAACATGATGTAATAATCCACTGCCATTTTAAACCTCAGATGAACAAGAGAGCACTCATAATTACAAGGCTGCAAACTTAAACTAGCTGAAAGGAACCTTTATGCATAATCTGTGAAACTTGCCTCTACTGGATATTCTTCAAGGGCTTGTTCACGTTGATTCCAATGAGGTGTTTGTGCACTGCATGCACGAGCATTGGAAACTTTTCCCTAGCAACTCCCGTAGGGTCAGCTGTGGAGATCCAGAGTGGCTATATACCATAGCCGACCCTACCCTCCCTCAGTTCCTTCTTACCGTCAATGGCAAAGTTGGAACTTCTAGTTCTTGCCCTGGCACGATTCTAGTCCCTGGCTATAACGCTTCATTATCACCTTCGTTCGTGTAAGCAGAGTCTTCAGAGTCAACAGATAGAGGGCAAGTGCTCAGGAACTGTAGCCCCTGTGGGGCATTCCTAACAGCCCTGGCTTTAAATCGTGCACAATCTGTAAGAGTCCTATGCCCAAAATTGATCTGTATGCTCCATAGGGTAGCAGCTTAGGAGCCACCTGATTGGAATTGATGTGAACAAGCACTCGAAGAAAAGACAGTTACCTGTTCTTGTAACTGGTGTTCTTCGAGATGTGGTGTTCATGTCCATTCCAATACCCACCCTCCTTCCCTACTATCAGAGTAGCTGGCAAGAAGGAACTGAGGGAGGGGAGAGTTGGCTGTGGTATGCACTGATATAGCGGCGTCACTCTAGAAGTCTCCACAGCCGACCCTACAGAAGCTGCTAGGGGAAAAGTTTCCAACTCTCGTGCACGTGGCGCATGCACACCTGATAGGAATGGATGTGAACAACACATTTCGAACACCAGTTGCAAGAACAGGTAACTGTCTTTTATTGAGGCAAGTGGCATGATAAATTTAAAAAACAGATGTCCATGTGAACAGCATCCTCAGTGACACTTCACTGTATTAGTGATTACAGGAGCTGTCAGGCATGCTTCATGGCTTGAACGGATCACTTACTCAGAGGAAAAACTTTCTCCTGAAGTGGTTCTAGAATTGCATAGGCTGGTTCATGATGAGAGGGTTTCTTTTTCTCCCCATGCATCCACTGTTGGAGACAAATTGGCAAGCCTAGATTATCCACTGACTTGTTATGGCATGGTAGCTGGGCATATTGGGTGATTGTAGCAAACTGTACATAGAATTGTCAGGAGAATATTGGCTTCTTTTTTAAAAAAAAAAAAAAAAAAGATTTGCAATTCCATCTTGCAAAAGGCCGTCTGGCTGAGCAGCACACGGATAAAAAGGGACAATAAAATAGAAACTTTGGGCCATACTTGTTAGCTGGTGGAATTACTTCTCCTACAAAGGGATTCTCACAAAGCTTTATTTTTTATAGTATAAGGGTGGTTTTGGTGATCCATTGGTTAGTACAAAGCAGTGGTCCCCAACCTTTCGTGGCTGCCAGGTGCCCAGGGGCGGAGCCGCTCACATGCCGTGCTTCTGGGGGTGGGGCCACGCATGCGCTGCGTACCCAGGGGTGGGGGCCACCCACGCACCCTGAGCCCAGGGCTGGCACCGCGCATGTGCCACGCGCTCTGGACAGGAGCCACCCATGCGTCACACGCCCGGGGCCCGCTACAAAGGATCCTGGAAGCCAGCAGGATCCAATATTTATTTTTCACATCTCTGCAAATTAAAGTGACTCGATACTGGTAAAAAGTCTTAGGTCAAGAATCTGGAGAATGAAGTACAGGCAGTCCCCGGGTTACATACAAGATAGGGACTGTAGGTTTGTTCTTAAGTTGAATCTGTATGTAAGTCGGAACTGGCATCCAGATTCAGACACTGCTGAAACTGACCGCCAGTTCTGACTTACATACAGAATCAACTTAAGAACCCCAGGCGTCCCCAAGTCAGCTGCTGCTGAAACTGATCAGCAGCTGATTCCAGGAAGCCCGGGGCAGAGCAACT